CATTGGGAAAATTTACACTGAGTTTATGTGACAGATCAAAGTCAAAACACTGGGACAGTAAAAGTACTGTATAAAATTACCCTCACACTGTATATGTAAGGTACATGTGACATGTAAATAAATTTCCAACATAATTTTGTTATATAATTGCACATATCCCCAAACCTGAAAATATTTGAAATTAGAAATACTCCTGGTCCCAAATATTTAAGACAAAGCGTACTTGACCTGCATTTGTAGTACACATGGTTTTAAATGTTTGTCATATTGGCACATGATTTATTCAGTGATTCACAACATAAGTAATGGCACTAATCTAAGCCCCACTGATATGAATATTGTGGCGTCTGTATCATGCCTGTCCTCTTCGATATTAGCTAATCTAGGAGTATGGAGAATTTGGACTTTCAGCAGAAAGGACTGGGGGAGGCCATAAACTGAAGAAAAACATGTGCTGTGAAAACACGTGTGGTTAATCAATCATGGTAAATGGCTTGCGTTTATTGAGCGCTGTGCGCATCTGTAGTGCTGTTGTGCATTTACTTTCTTGCTCCATACAAAACCTTCTTTAAGGGCAGATCCTCCTTTTATGGCCTTGTAGAAACTCAGGCTCAAGGAGAGTAAGTAACTTTTTAAGACACACTAATGTCACAGCGCTCTCCAGGGTAATACTGACCCAAATCTGGGGCTCTTCTAGAATCAGAGTCTGCATTTTAGTATCAAGGTCTGCATTCTTAGGACTTTTGTACATTCACTGTGTGTAAACGGCAGCACACAAAGCGGTAGCCTTGTGTAGAACATGAATGGAGCCCACCTGTGCGTGGGGCACATCTAGAAATAACATTTGTACCACTTCTTTCACAGCTTCTTTCTAATCTCCGATCAAAACCCATTCCTTCTTTTTCTTCAGTCTGTTTGTCTCTTTTGGACTTTAAGATATATACGGCTAGGAGTCAGGATTGCATTTCTTCTAATACATTCATAGCCCGTCCTACCATGAATTCAGATCAGTAAGTCATCTGCGCTCCTAAATTCTGCTACGATAACTTGTTTGAAATATATATTTTTTTCTATTGTAAATATTCTTATTATCCTATTACCTTGAGGATTTTGTACCACTCTCTTTTTAATGGAGGCTGATTTATACAGATCTAATCAGAGCAGTCAGTCTTTTCTTAGATACCTTCTTTAGAATAAGATTATTTTAGAAGTCACTCAACACTTTTCTTAGTAAACAACTATTCCTGTATTTTTGTTTGTTTACTGTATATTCAATGTAGATAAATTGTATACAAATTCTGTAATTTATTAATTATAGGTATCTGGTCACTTCTTTGATTTATGGCTCTTTCTGCCTTAGGTGGACAGTGTCACTGTCTTGCCTGTGACTGGTCACCCACTTGTCCTGATCCGCAGTCCCTTTAATGTGTTTCACATTTTCCTCACAGACCCGACTATCAGAAGTGACCCTTGTCACTGTTATGAGAGAACTTTGTCTGTTTCAAATGCTTGTATGTGTAAAGGAAAGGAATAAAGTGCATTTCAAGATAAAGTAGAAGAATGTTGAGGTCCAGGTAGCCAGACCTGTGTGTGGGCTGCAAGGGTCTCTCCTGAGCCCCAAGCACCTACAGGTGTCAGGTGGCACCTCCATGAAACCTGAGTACAATGATGTGATTGGATAAGGATCTGTGGGAAATTGTCTCAAGCTGTTGTCCTTCTTAGTTTTGGTAGAAATTGAGCAATGTCCTTTGACATGCTTACATGCAGTTTATTCCTGGCCTCACTCTTTTAATATTGGGGGTTGTTACCTAGGGAATGAATAGTTTCTGTAAATTATCTTTCCTATATTTCCCTATATATAGAAGAGTTCAAGGTTATTTAGCCTCTGTTTGTTGATTTTGAACATCTTTTCTGAGAAAGAACAAGGGCAGGCTCAGATTTAACTTTTGCAGTTTTCTCCACAAACACTTCAACTATTGACCATTTGCTTTAGAATTTTAGTAAAAACTAAACATAGGGGAAATTCCTAGAAAGGATCAGAATACTGATCTTATTTTATATACTTTCTGTAATTACAGGGAATTCCTATTGTAATTGTGTTTAGGGCAGAGCTTCTGATAAACAGATTATTTTCAGAACAACTTATATGTTGCACACCCGTGTACCACCAGCTTGAATGTATGTCTTCATCCTAAAGAGACTTCAGTTCACTCTTTGCCATATGTATCAGTTTCTTTCTTAAAAATATTTATTGATGTTTCAATTTATGCTATTTATAGTTGAGGTACCTGTGTATATGTGTATTGTTAGTTACATACTTATTTTTGAGACAGGAGGCTCTCTATATATTTCCCAAGCTGGTTTTGAACTCAAGTGATCATCCTGCCTCAGCCTCCTGAGGAGCAGGGAGCACAAGAATATACATCTCCTTGGTGAGTGTCTTAGTTATTTTTTATTCATCACTGAGACAAAATACCTGATGCCCAAAGTTAGGGAAGGAAAGGTTTATTTCTTACAGTTCTTCGAGGTTTTAGTCCATACTCAGTTGGCTCCAAGGCAACATGGCATGGCAGAGCAGCCCTTCATAGCTGCTGCAAATAGCAAGGCAGAAATTAGCATAATAGAGATACATCTTCCTACCATTATATTATGTTGTGGCTCCACCCCTAGGCAGGTGTAGCACCCACTCCACCAGTCCAAGTGTTAGACAATGAACCAATCACAAATGCATAATTGCATGAGGCTTGGGGGCCACTGACATAAACCATAACAGCTATTATATACTACTTACTGATGGCAGAGTTGGTAGTTGAATAAAGTGTTTAATGCCTGTGACACAAGTAAGGGAGAGGCACTTCCTGTGTGTTTGCTTTGGCTGTGAAACTTCCAGGTTTGAGAGACAGACAATGAATACACAGGTTTGTCTCAGCTGTGTCACATTCAGTGACTCTACAATAGCCACATCTTGTAGTGAATAAGCTGGTGTGTGTAAACTCTAGAAAAATACTCAAAATATTATGGAAAAGAAAAATGAATGTTTGTGCTTGTTTCCTTTCATCTGCATATGTAGCCAAACCTTTTGTATGTATCATGATCCTTTTCCTAGGTAATGTAGCTCAGAAACCCTGAAAGATGTTAAGCCTTTGTTAATATATTTGGAATCATGGGAAAAAATGATACTTTTTCAGTGTGTTTTAATTATTTATTATACTTTTATTTACACTTGGAATACGTAACTTACTATGATCTGTGTTAACTCCTTGAACTAGAATATATGTATTTCTCAACCATGTCAAATAAGAAAATGGACTCTAATTTTAGTTAGAATTTTTTTACCACATTTTGTGATACGTTCATGCTCAAATAACTGATACTTTCTGGGAATAGTTTTTAATTCCTGGTGCTAAACACCAAACAGTATTACATTTTCAGGTACCATTGGGAGTTTCACATAGATCAAAATCTTGATGGGGTTAGCTGTTGTGGTTTTTGCAAGTTAGTTTTACTTTATTTTTGTAGCATTAAAAGTGTGATTACAAGACACTTCTCTTTTGTAGTAAGTTAGTTTCTCAAAATAATGTTGATGGTAATAGAATCCCTGGTCAGTGGACAGGTACAGATCAACATGTATATGTTAATGACCTAATAGGATTAGGGTAGGCATAGTTTCTGAACCAAGAAACATTGTATAAGAATAGAGAAAAGATGTTTTATCCAATTTGGAAGTATATGAAAAAACATGAAACATACAAGCTTTCTAAGGAATTGAAGTTGTTGTTATAATAATACTGTGATGAAATGAAAAAAAATGAAATAAGCATGCTATAATGTTAATTCCCACGAGTAACTGAAATTCACACGATGTCATACTGTTTTATTCAACTTGCTCAGCCTTATTTTTTCCTGTTTTTAGGTGAGTGCAGCATATGCCATGCAAATTATGGAAGTAGGGAAGGCTTAATTTCTTTCTTTTTTTTTTTTTTTACTTTGTCTTTTGTATTTGAAGGCTTAATTTCTTATTCCTGCTTTTTTACCAGTTAGCTGGGTATCACTAAGTGACAAGTTATCTTTGCTTCCGCTATAAAATGTTCATAGTAATATTGGGTCCTTCTGGAGTTGTAAGCAATGAAAGAGAGAATCTTTGGAAAAGTACTTGGTGTATCAAAATTGATGAACTGTAGTTCCTACCTTCCTCTGTTTGCCTGCTGCTTCATCAACACCCTCATGCATGATAATGATAGGTTCATAAGTGGTTTCTGGTTCTCTCAGTATGCATTTTCATATCTCTCCAGTTGAATTTCAGTTCCACCCAGTTGATTTCAGTTTCCAGTTGATTTCAGTTTCACCCAGGTCTTGCCTTCGACTCATACTGTGGCTCCTTCCTATATTTAACATATGTATAACCATACTCTATATTCTTGGTGACTTAGTTTCTGCTTCCAGTAGCCTGATTATCTTTAATCTTCTGAAATTGATTGCTAAGTAGAAGAATTTGCCCCAATTGATTTTTCTTTGAGTGAAGTTGTTTGAGCCTGACCACACCATTGTCTAGTTTGTGATTCTGTAAATCTTATATTGTTAATTGTTGAGTTTTTGTGGTTGCAACATCCCTGCATCCGTTGGTCTCCAGTGATTATAGCAATTACTTACCTACTACTTCTCAGTGGATAAACATAAAAGGTTAAAATCAAACAACTTGCCAAAATTATAAAGTAAGGCTGGGTCTTAAATGATGATCTCATGTCTCCCCATCTAACACTTTGGAATAAAGATTGTTTCGTTATATGGAAATGTTGGTATCATTGTAAGATTTTATGCAAATCATTGGATCTTTTCCTTAATTATAAATTCAAAACAATTCTTAAATATTAGTCTGCTATTTATCGTTTAAGTAAAAATCACATCCTATGCCATGTCTTGAAAAGTAGTGTTTTGTTTCTCCAGGTCTTTCTTCTAATTAAATTCTGTTGACATCTTCTTTTTCTTTTAACTTTTCTCAGGCTGCTAAATTGGCGGTCACCCTGCAAGCCTTGGAGTCCCAATGGGGGACTCGGGATCAAGACGATCTACACTGGTCTCTCGGTTGCCAATATTTAGAAGAAGTATTAGCAGAAGACATGACTCCCTTCCTTCCTCACCTTCTTCCAGTAACACAGTTGGCGTGCACAGCTCCTCTCCTTCCAGCACTAACTCGAGCTCAGGTAGTACAGGGAAACGCAGGAGCATATTCCGAGCTCCTTCCATCAGCTTCCACCATAAGAAGGGAAGTGAAGCTAAGCAAGAGCCTACCAACCAGAACCTTAGTATTTCAAACGGTGCTCAGCCTGGTCACAGCAACATGCAGAAATTGACTTTGGAAGACCATATTAAAACCCGGGGAAGACATTCTGTGGGTTTTAGTAGTTCAAGAAATAAGAAGATTACAAGATCATTGACTGAGGATTTTGAGAGGGAAAAGGAGCAGACAGCTAATAAGAATGTCTTTATAAATTGTCTAAGCTCTGGCAAAAGTGAAGCAGATGATTCAGGATTCACAGAAGAACAGACACGGCATTCTGTGAAACGATCATCGAGGAAGCTACTCCCCAAATCTTTTTCATCTCACTATAAATTTTCTAAGCCAGTCCCACAGAGCCAATCCATTTCATTGGTACCACAATCTGAATTCTCCCTGGAAATTATGCAATACCAAGAGGAAGATCCTGTATTTGTAGGAGCTTCTCCATCTTGTTCTGTGGATGCAACTGAACCGGCTGGAAGCTCCTTACAATCTCCTTTGCTTTCTGCTGATCTGACCACAGCCCAGACACCTTCAGAATTTTTAGTCTTGACTGAAGATTCTGTATCTGAAGCAGATGCATTTCCTAAAAGTGGAAGTATGGCATCCCACTGTGATAACGTTGGCCACAATGATTCTACCTCTCAGCTCTCTCCCAATCCTGCTGCTCTTACAAAAACAACAATAGAACTTACAGGAATCAGTCCCTGTGCAATCACATCTCCTGCGAAATACAGGTTAGAAGGTCGATGTAGCACTGAATCGAGTTCCTTCCGGGAAACGTCTGCTGCTAATCAGAAGGAAGTGCTACTACAGTTCACTGAGCCACCCGTTAAGAATGTTAGCCACTCAGAGACTCCCCAACCAACAGATACTCAAAAAGAAGAAAACACAGCACTACAGAATGGTGACACAGTGCTGACGACAAGCTCCCCAAGGAAACTTGGCTTATACGAGACACAGAAAGCAATAGCTGAGCCTGTGAAAGGGATGCATCCTGTTTCAGATTCAAGGCTAATACCTTCTTCTGGGGATCATCATTTTTTTAACAAAGCGTCATATGGGTATGAAGGAAATACTGCCAAAGGTATGGTGATTTTTTTTGTGTGTAATACAAAGTGTATTAATTTTTATGAATAATTTATTTGACTTTTTTACTTCACTTTATGAAACCATGCATTTTTCACTCTTTGCAATCTACCATGTTTATAATTTGTTTTGGATATTTCCCCTGCTTCGTTTTAAGCTTACCTCAATTTATATTGTATTCAGATATAAGCAGGCAATAAAATTTTTTATTAATTGATTTAATCAGATTCTGATCTCAGAAGAAGATGAAAAAAACTAATTTTATTTTCAGTGTAACTATCTAAAATAAGGACTATTTTTTGCACTTCATTATAGAAGTTATTGATATGTGCTAATTAATGACTATGTTCCAGCCAAAATATTACAAAAGGGACTTGCATAATTTAAATTCTATTTTGTATGTTAACAAAGATTTCACTATTAACTAGGACCCATGTTTTGGCATAAATTAATGTAGCCCATAAATATAAAAGAATTTCAGCCTTTAAAAATACTTTCCTAGTTGGCTTCCTACTGTCCGAAACAAAGAATTCAGCAGGACCCCCAAAGTAGCTGCAAGATCAAAGATTTATTTGAAAGAGAAGAGAAATGATCCACTGCACAGGTTGGAAGTGGTCCAGTGAGGAGAGCGCACAGCCTGAGCGAGTGTGGCCTAAGGGTTTTAAGCCTTAGAGTTTGGGGTAGGATTAGAGGATTGGTTTGAGGTCTAACTACAGCCAGCAATCAGCTTGGCTTGACTGGCCCTTGTGTGAGGAAGTAGAGCTTGTGGCATTTATGGCCTTGGGACCAACTGTTGGCATCCTGAGTCCCCAGGATGAGTGTGCAGGTATTGTCAAATCTGTGTAATCCATGCCATTAGGGTCCAGGTCTGCTAAGCTGTGCAGGAGACCACTGAGTGCATTCCTGGGGATCTCTTTACATAAGCAAAGTAACCTGGGTACCTTTCTGTTCTCCGTAGACTGGGGTCCTCTGGTCAGGGCCAGTGTTTAACTCAGAAGGTGGATCTAGTGCCAGGGAGTGGGCTCCACTGTGTGATGTCCATCCTCTCCCTAGCTGTTTCTTGGTTACCTTCTGTCTCATATCTAGCCCAGAAATTGGGCTCCAGTGTGGATCTTTCCTTCTGTCTCCAGGTTTTTCTTTTGCTGCCTTCTGTCTCACTGGCACTTTGGGAGGAAGAGGTAGGCGAATCACCAAGTTTATGCCTAACTTGTCCAATTTGTGAAGACCTTGTTAAAACAAAACAAAACAAAACAAAACAAAACAAAAAGTGCCAGGGATGTAACTCATTACAAAGGCCCTGGTTCACTCTCCTCATACCAAGAAAAAAAAAAAAAAGATTCAGACGTTGGACGCTAGGGACCCAGCCTGGATCTAACCTAGCCTGAGACAAACTGGCTGTGTAACCTTGAGCATATTTTCTTTGTTTAAACCAAAGAGTGTGTGTGAATTACTTTAGTTTGCTCTAAAAGACTGTTCTTTCACATAAAATTCAGTTCAAGAAAATTGTTTAATATATTTCACTGTCTTATAGACATTACTTTTTATCCTTTTTTTCTCTATTATCTTTAGTCTTGCTGCTGCTACTATTGTTTTCTCAATGTGGAAGATGTTCATATCCCAGATACTAGTTTGTGAAGTTTATATGCATTAATTACTAACTGATCAAAGTTGCTACAGTTATTACAAGCTGTTTTGCAGTCAAGAAAATTAGAAGACAGATCACTTGTGTGTCTACTGTTACAGAGTTAGTAAGTGACTGATTGGGTTAGAAACCCTATGAAGTAAACTTGTATTTTTCTTATTTCACAAAATGAAAATTGCCATGAAGGGGTCAGACAGCTGATAGATAGCTCAGTGAAGTTACAGCTTTCTGGGTCCAAAGTTTAGGCTATAAACAACCATATTTATGACCTAAAATAAAAACTTAAAGTCACATGATAAATTATGATATTGAGAACCGTGAAGTTTTATGATTTAATTAGTTCTTCCATGAGCATAGCACTTTTTAAGTTTTAAATAAATGAAGTAGTTTTATAGCTGTTTTAAAATGTTTTGTGTATTTGATACAGGATCACTTTTCTCTATCTGATGACTTTTTTTTTTTAACTTGGTAGTCTTGTTCGTATTTTTAGGTTAAATTAAGCCTGTTTGACTTCCTGAAGGTAGGTTTGGAAGTTCTAGCCTGCAGCACAGCTACTCTATAACGAGAGAGGCAGTCTTCTATGGGAGAAAATCATCTGCTCTGACCTGGGGAAGTCATCCTCTGGCCCTGCATGAGGCTTTTGCAGGGACATATGGATTAGGGACTGAGGAAGGGGTCACCCCTAGCAAATATTGGTCCTCAGATTAGAATCCAAGTGGTTTTAAGAAGAAATGTCACCCACTAACCCTCTGATCATGACACATTATACACAGGTATCCACTGTACACCATGAACAGGCACAATTCCTGTATGTTAAAGATGAAATTTTGCTTTAGTACAAATGAAAAGAAAGAAATGGTCTAAGAAAGGGTAGAAATGTAATTATCCTGATACAGTGCTCTTACTTCACAGTGATGGCTTAACTTGATGTCTGAGTACTATGCATTTGATCTCTCTGGAAACTAGGGACTATTAAACAATTACCATGGTGATTATTAATTTGTTGAGACTGAATTCTAAGACATTTAATCTATTATAGTACTTTAGCAATGTGTTGTCTGTTCTTAGACATATAAGCTGGTAATGGCAATAAGAAAAGATGATAGTATAATATTCTTTAATTGTGAGATTATTCATGTGGTTCTCGTCAGGATTTTTTGATTCAGTAGTTTACAAATTTTAAATCAGTTAAGTAAATATAATTAATGCAAGACAGAGTTGTTGTACACACCAAATTCCATATACTAATTTTATTTTGTAATTATTGGGAAAAAATAATTAATCTTATAAATATACATCCTCGGATATTTGAGATAAACATGCTACAATCATGATAGTTAGCTTTTATCTATTGGCTTTAAAACCTACATAAAAACAGATGTTCTATATTGGTTAATACATGTCTGCTCAAAATTTTAAAACAGTTGATGAGCCTAACAAGAATAGTTTATCCATCCACCCCTCCAGTTGATCTATCCATCCATCCATCCATCCATCCATCCAGCAAATGCAGTTTTAGTGTTGTTTCCAGCATTTGTGATACAGCAAAATCCGGCATAAATCCCTACATTCATGAAACTTACTTTTCACTTGGAACACTCAGACACTACAAACAAGTGAATGTCAGATGTAAACTGCAGAGGACAGATTTAAGGCAAAATAAAGAATGATGTGCCACCCTACTTGTCATACGTAAAGCTGCAGTCTGCAGTCTCACATTGCACTTCCTAATTCTTTTCTCGGCTTTAAGACAACTTGTTAGTAAAGATGTGATGATTTGGAGATGCTGTGTATCTGCAGAGATGCGGTCACAGGCCATGGGGTGAAGCCCATCCTCAGTGTAGTAGCCACAGCAGGAAGCTGTTGTGAGCAGCATGAGGGGCAGGAACGGGCAGGATAGAGCTCAGACTGGTGAACAGGGACAGGAAGTCAGCAGAGCCAGGTCACCTCCAGCCTCTGGAATAATGCTCCCCCATGGTTGCTTAAAGTGTCTTGGCCACCAGAGAGACAGGTAGGAGTGGGAAGAGGGGAGAGGGTTTCACAGAGCATTGCAATATAGATCCAGGAACTCGGGGAAGAAGGTGGTGAGAAGTGAGCAAATTCTACATAAAATTGGAAGGAATTAGGGGCGAGATTTGTAGAGGCTGTTGTCTGTTATGAAAAAGCCAAAGAAGACTTCAAAAGTTTTTGGCTTCAAGAGATTACATAACAAACCAGACAGAACTCCCTGCCACTGTAAAATCTGTTTCCCTGTGATAGACAATTTTTGAATGACATTAAGAGTTTTATATTATCTTTGAATGGGGCATTTCTAAGAACTCCCCTTAACTAATTCTATTAATTTAAATTTTTCAATAGTTCTTGCCAGCAGCCTAAGTCCATATCGTGAAGGAAGATTTATAGAGAGGCGACTGAGATCCTCCTCAGAAGGAACTACAGGGAGTAGCAGAATGATTTTGAAACCAAAAGATGGAAATGGAGAAATGAATAGTTTAAGAAAGCAAAGAACAGGTTCCTCTTCCTCAAAAATGAACAGTATGGTAAGTATTTACATATGTTTTGAAATAATGAAATAATATTGTGTATCTAGCATGCTCGTGTCTCTTACAAAAGGAATGCAGACTGAAGAATACCTGTTTCTTGAACAGGAAGTTGGTGTTTTCAGTTGATGTCCCAAATCAGAGAGGCAAATTTATCACTTGAGATTCTTAGGCAATAGGACAGATAAACGCACAATAGGGCCACCTCAGTCCCTATCTTTCTGGGTTCATTTTAGGATAAACCTGCAGCGTGCCACGATAGGAGAAATGCTGATGGTGAAGGTACCCTTGGACACTGTCACTTCACATCATCTGTTCACCTGGTAAACCACTCTGAAAAATGTCCTTTTGTGAAGCACACTTCTGCCAGGACCACCTGTAAGCAAGCCCCTGCTCTCTGCTGTGCTGAGCCCCGGCCCCTAGTGACCCATCATCGAGAGTGACACTGGGCACAGAGTCTGGGGCCACTGTGCAGGCCTATCTGAAGCGTGAACAGAGCTAGCAGATTCCTGTGGGGATGCGCAGGGCACGGGCTTACTTGACTGTGGCAAGTGTGGCCGTGAGAGACATTTGAAGCTCCCCTACTTCATGTGCTGGAGCTGGCGGTAGAAGAAATGTGGAGTGACAGCAGTCCCAAGCCCGGAGATCTCCAAACATTAGGATGAGCCTGCCTTTAGGAGACTTTAATTCTTATTTAACAGTACTCCTTACCTTTACCTACCTACTTATCAAGGGATATATGGGAAAAATACTGAAAAAAGAATCAGTCATAAACCATGTAACTTGGATAATTAGGTTTCAAAGGAACATGTTAGGCCACCCACATCTAGTAATAAATTAGAGTAACATTGAGTTACAGAAATGAGTTTGAACCTTTTTCTGACTTTGCCATTTGTTAGTCTTGGGCAACTGAAGAAATACAGAGTGACACAGGATTTAGCTTTCTTGCTTCTTTGTTTAGTAGCTGAAAAAGCCTTTCAATCTGTACCTATAGTATTTCATCTTCCTGTTTATTCTTTTGTCCATTGAAAATGCTGAATCACATTTATAGTTGATATTTTTGTCTATATATGAGAAAATATTTTAAAAGCTTTTTCAACTATTACAACATTAAAAATTTAGGTAACTTGGTATTACAAAACATTTCTTTTGAGAAAATTTCCATTGTTTCTTTATAGAGGAGTATTTATGTTAGTGATTTTACAGTGCATATTCTAATTGCTCCAAATTGGACTTCTTACCAATTCTTTTATACCTCAGACATTTTATTATTAAATTTAACTTAAATACTTTTGCTTGTAATATCACAAAGTCAGCGTTCATTGTATGTCTACTTCCAAGACTTAGAATTTAAAATGTCCAAACCCAAAAAGTGATTTCGTTTTTACTTGAGATCTGTGTATTTTCAAAAATTGTCCCTGAAGTTTTACAACCTGTCCACTAGATGGCAGGATTGCACCATTGCCATGGATGTAGAAAAATCTCTAGCATGGACTGAAACCTTTTAAAGTTGCCACACTCATTCATTAGACTCAGGCATAATCCTTGAAATAAATATAGTACTGATGCTTTTGACTTTAAAAAAAAGCATATCAAAATTATATCATGATTTTACTGTTTTCTTTTGGATTTTGCAATTTATATTTCATCCTTCAGTTACTTTCATGGTTCAATAGTTAAAGTGAATGAAATTATTTTCTTTAACTTTTGGCATCAAAGGTTGCCATCTCTGTTTAACAAGAAATGCTAGATACTACTGGTAATTTTAGAATTATGTAAAGCAAATGACTTATGAGTACAAAGTGATGCATTTTCTCTACAAATTAATTCTCTCTCTCTCTCTTTTTTTTTTTTTTTTTTTTTTTTTTTTGTGTGGTACTAGAGATCAAACTCATAACTTCTTGCTTGCCAGGCAGAGAGTTATGCCAAATTGATTCTTACAAATTAATTCAAGCAGTGGTTTTAAGAATGAGTCTGCAGTAATTATTCTTCTATTTTATAACAATAAAATTATCCTAATTTTGATGATTTTTTTCAATAAAGGATCTACTTTTAATGTTTCTCATATATTGTGACATTCAAGCCTCACAGTGTTTTGGCATTAGTGATACTATATTACTCAGATCTTAGAAAAGAATAAATTAAGGTACTAAGAAGAGAAGCAGCTTCTCTAAAATCACATAATAACAAATGTCAGAGACAGAATTTGGGTCCAAACCCTACAAACTTTTGGGAGAATGCATTTAGATTTAAAATTGTTTGGAGCTAATTTTCATTTTATTTCCATTATTTCTATGTAATGAACATGTCCAAATCTATAATCTAATTCTCTGTCAGAGACACAACAAAGGACAACAGAAATAAAATGTAGCACTTAATTCTGAAATTAAAATTTAGTATCAGATCTTGAAACTATGATGAGTGGTATAAGTGTCTTTTCTGAAAGATAAAAAAAATTTTATTACTAAGTCAGATATGCACACTTAGGCAACACTGTGTTCCTTGTGTAGTTCATGGCGATTTCAGTTTTACCTGTCAGACGTGATTCTTTTTAATTAGATACTGAGGGGGGTCTTAAAATGCAAAGATATATGCTAATGGGTTTTAGTGTTTGTATATACTGGGATGTTTCACTATGGAAGGGAAAGAGCAGAATGTGTTAACTTAATAAATAGGAGAGGTCTAGAAGAAACTAGGATTTGCTAACATTTATTACATGAAAGCAAAATGTGTGTGCAGTACTTTAATAAACAATTCACATTTCCTTTATTTTACCAAAGCTACTTTAAATGGAGAATCCTTTTAACTTTCCCTTAAGGAATTAAACTTTCATGTTTACTTTGAATTGCCTAAAAATTTTTAAAAGCTTTTCTGAAAATAGAGTTTTTATTTCTAGTATCTTTCTTTGCAGACTATGTCATATAAATTAAAAATGTGAGAATTTGACATGGTTTCTGCAACAACCTTACACAGTGAATTCTGACTCTACTTGCTAGATCAAATTGTTATAAATGTAAAAAAATACTGTGAAGGTAAATTCCTACCTCATAGACAGCACAGCATTCAACAAGTGAAGGGCCCAAGTGTATGAGTGGAGATCAGTTTGGCTGGGTGATAACAAATAATGAGTCTTAATGGTTCTATCATAGAGTTTTTATTAATCATCCGTGCTGGGTTTTGTCCTGTGCTCTGGTCTGTTTCCACACCTTTGAAGTGGTTTCCATTGCAAACACTATCCTTCCCGTGGGAAGAGAAAGGGCACTCTGGAGGTCCTGATCCCTGGAATACAGCGTTCTGACTTGTGAGAGCCACATACTACTGCGTACTACTGCTTGGTCAGATCTCATCATGTGCCCCAAGCAACACAAAAGAGTCCAAAATGTATAGTATCTCCCTTTCTTCTGGAAGGTAGACACAGACATGTTTGGTGAGGGCTGATGACAATCATATTTGCAAAAACTTTGTCGTATCTCAATTTTTTAATGAACAGAATTCCTGCTGCCCCTCTTCCCCTCTGGTCCACACTCACGCAATGCTTTGCAGTGTGTTACTCATTGCACTGAAGAAGAGGGAAACATGTCTGATGCTGGAGGGTTCTGTACAACCACACATGATATGTTTTGCTTCTTTTCTTAACAGCCTTGAGATCTATATTTCATATGCATCAAGTGTACTCGTTTACAGAATTTAAGGGCTGTTATCATATATGAAAGTTCAGTACATTAAAATGTTGGTTGTGAAATTCGATTATCATTAGATTCTGTGACAAATCCTTCTCCAGCTTTGTGCTGTACAGTTGTGGCTCTCATTTCTGGCCAGTTTTGCTCCAGTGCAGTGCAGTAATTTTTGTCATTTGCAGTTTGCCATCTTGCCGTCTTTGTGGGGAAACTGAACAGTACAGTGAAACCATAAGTTGTAGGACTTTTTTGGAAGGAGGACATTTTAGATTTATATTTGATTTGGTAAAGTAGTAATGTACAGATCATCAGCATCTTAGGACATGTTTTATTTTTCGATGTACTGAGCCTCAGAATTTCAGTGTTAGCCATAATAGTTGAAAAATCTAAGCTGAATTAATTCCTATTGGAGACAGTGGAACACTTTGGTATGCATTTGATTATCTTCTGGGTCTGCTGCTTTTACACTCATCAGCTTATCCTTTATTAAAACTCACACTACAATTACTCATTCATTCACAGTTTTTTTAATAAGTACTTATTGAGAATCTGCCGAACAGCATCTCATATAGGGAAACAGCATCGTTCCGCATGATCTTATCCATGCAACAGAGTAAACCACTATGACCCTGTGTAAATTTGGAATGACTGGGCTGCCTTGATTTGGATTGAAGCCATTAATATCACCATTACAACAGAATTCACGGTGGGCTACACTCTTGCTTTCTTGACTTACGTTTACCTCATCTCAGCATTCAATTGACAGTATTAAATATATACATAGCTTCCTTGTGGATTTTGCTCATTTCTGACACAAAGGCCCCTCTGCTCGTGCTGAGCAAGAATGCTAAGTGGGCAGTGGTACAGTGAGAAGGAGGGTGTAAACATGACTGTCAGGACTAATGTTTTAAGTATTGGTTGTCAAATACCCACTTCTACAGTTCAATTGGCAAAAGCCTTCTGTTAGTTTTTTGGAATATGTATCATTTGTTCAAGTGCAAAATTATAGGTAAAGATCTGTTTCAAGAAATTTGTCTTCAGAACTGTGCATTTAATGAAAATTTCTAATATGTAACAATATTAATGGCTTTTTATGGTTAAAATAATGATGGCTGTTTTTGATGTAACTCATTGTCAGTTGAGTTAAAGCAAATATCATCATGTACTTAAGGAATCTTTAATTAGAAAAGGAAACCATGCATATTTTTAAGGAAATCATTCTCAGTTTTTACGAAGAAGTACTATCACAGACATCACCCATTAAATATGAAATTACATTAGTTGATAATTGTCATATTAATTTTACATTAATAGTCTCAATTC